CATTCCTGCCCTATGCAGTGCGGGTTTTCCACTTGCATCTTATGCACAGGACGTCAGGCACTCAGAGTCACGGTCCCCTCGGTGGCCGTGACTGACATTCGTGTGCTGGAGCTGCCACATGCAGAGCTGTCACCGTGCCTCCGTGCCCACGGCGGCCATCAGCGGGAGCACTGCACACCCAAGTTCACGGGCGCTTGACTGCCTCTCCCTAAAAAAGTAGCCCGTTTGTTTGCGATGTGTTTGCTTTAGTGCGCGATCGCGTCATCAGCTCCACGGGCACTTTTCAACGCACGTTGGAGATGCCGTTTTGGACCGGTGGTTCTCTAGCTGTCATCAGAATCCTGCATCCCTTGGTATTTGCTGAAATTACCTTCACGAGATCCCACCCCTGTCCCCAGTGTCCTGACAGTAGAGCACGCCTTGGCACTGCCCACTGGAGCCCTGAGCCCACCTCACACCCTGGACCAGGCGGGGAACGTGGGCCAGGTGGGGCGCCCCGACCCAGGTGACGTGCCTGCCTCGGTCTCTGTGGTGGCCACAAGTGCCCCCGCCAGGCCAGAATGCGGGCGCTTGGAGCTTTCAGGACATCGTCGGAATTGGACGCAGTTTGAAGTGGATGAGAAAGGGGTGGGGCGGGGCATCGGTACAGGTCTTTGGGGGCCGACAGTGGCCTAGGGGAGCTGTGCCTGTTTAGACGAGAGTAGTTTCAAACTGGATTATTGGGAAGGTGTTCATCACGCCGTGGCCCACATTTCATTTTTCATAAAAATACGTTGTTCTGAAATGTTCCATCACCCGCCACACAGCCAGGGGAGCTTACTGTTTCCCAAACCCACCCCCGCATCAGCATCCGGCCTTCATATATCACAGAAGACAGCCTAGTGTCAGCGTGGAGACTAGTGTAGTGCAAGTGTTCGTGGCACCATTTTTGGAAGTCTGATTTGAGGGGGACTTGTCATCCGGGAGCTGCACTGTGACACACACTCCATGCTGTGCCTTCGCTTCTCGTCCTTAGGCCAGGAAGAGCAGCGACACCCTGCTGGCTGGGTGTGCGGTCAGACCAGGTGTGCGGGGCCAGCCGCCTCTGTGGAGTGCACCTGCACACATGCACACATATGCACAAACCTGCACACACGCATGCGCACATGAACATGCCTACCCACATGCACACACCTACACATGCACACACACGGATCTCAGGGGAGGGGCCTGGAACCACCCCAGCCGCCCTCAGGCCTGTGCGCGTGGGCGGGGGTCGGCGGGTGGGTGAGCAGAGCACAGGCGTGCCCACAGAGTGGTGCCGAGGCCGAGGCCAGGGCCGCGTGTGACTTGTCCCCCCTTTCCAGTGTGGAAACATGGCCCGCGAAGGGCTGCGCACGCTCGTGGTCGCGAAGAGGGTGCTCACGGAGGAGCAGTACCAGGACTTCGAGGTGAGCGGCAACCCCCACCCTCGCCCGCCACCCCTTGGAGGGCGCCCGCGGGAGTGAGCCCTCCCCACACGGGCGCGTGGACGGTGGTGTGGCGTCAGGCCCACGTGCGTCCGCAGACTGAGCGTGAGGTCACTCTCCAGATTGCACGCTTCCCCGTGTGCAGCGAGTGTGTGGCAGTGCAGCATATCTGTCCCATCGACACACTCAGGCCAGGGGTGCTTGCACACGTGGGACACGCACACACGTACACAGCCGTCTCTCTGTCCTCAGAGCCGCTACACTCAGGCCAAGCTGAGCGTGCACGACCGGACACTCAAGGTGGCAGCAGTGGTGGAGAGCTTGGAGCGGGAGATGCAGCTGCTGTGCGTGACGGGCGTGGAGGACCGGCTGCAGGCGGACGTGCGGCCCACCCTGGAGATGCTGCGGAACGCGGGCATCAAGGTACAGCGCGGCCAGAGCCTGGCCCGGTGGCACAGGCCGGGTGACGCAGGGCCAGGTGACTGCAGAGCCAGGTGGCACAGTGCGGTGACACAGGGCCCAGTAACACACGGCCCTGTGACATGGTGCTGGGTGACATGGGGCCGGGTGACTGCAGAGCCGGGTGACCTATTTAGCCCAGTGATGGCAAAGCCGGGTGACACATAGCCCAGTGACTGCAGAGCCAGGTGACACACAGCCCAGTGATGGCAGAACCGGGTGACACACGGCTTGGTGATGGCAGAGCCAAGTGACGCACCCGGCTGCTTCCCTGGCGCATGCTCTGTGACGTCTGGCAAGGGGTGTGAGGGCTTTGTGGCGGCAGCCTCGCTGGGCCTCTTGCCCACGTGTTCCCGGCGAGGAGGCCTGGGGGACAGTGCGGCCTGTGCCCCTCTGGAAGGCGCACATGTCCCTCCACATCTGCACGCATTTCCCCAGGGCTGCATGGCCACCAGCCGGGCTTCCTCCGGCTGCCACCCCCCACCCCCACCCAGCTCTGTCCTTCCTTCATGTACCCGCAACCCCGCAACCTCTGCCTGCCCACAGCCCCGCACCATCCCCAGGGGCTTCCTGACCGGCTTGGGAGAGCAAGGAGACCCACTGGCAAGCCTGCCCACTGCGACCCAGAGCTTTCTGTTGGACAAGACCAGGTGTCCAGCAGGCTGCTCCCGGCCTGCTCTCCTCGTCCATTTTGTTTGTCGGGCTGTCTGTCCCCCGTGACCACTGGCTCAGTGCTTGGGCTCTGCTGGGGGTCTGTCCAGCCCTCCTTGCCTCTGACGTGTCCCCATCAGCGCAGGGGAAATCGGCACTTCCTGGCTGAAGTCTTAGCTTTTCAGACAACTTCCTGCCTTCTGAGGCAGTTCAGGGACAAAATGGGTGAGAAAATGCATTTCAGCGCCGCCCAAGGTTTGGGGCTTCCATTTGTGAGAACGATAAGAGTGCGGCTGCTTTTAGCAGACAGACGTGTGGACAGCTGGGCAGAGGCGGAGTGGAGAGCAACGGAGGCCAAGTGCGCCTGACTTCAGTCGGGAACGGGCAGCAGGTTCGCGGACGCATGGGGCCTGCACGGGGTGCGCCATGCTGGCTCCTGGGGTCTGGGCCAACCCGCTGACAGCCTGGCGGCAGCTCAGCCTTGCAGGACGCTGTCAGGAGGGAGCTCAGAGCTACAAGCGCACTTCAGACTCGAAGCGTGTCGATCGTCTACACCTGATCGTGTGGGTGAGGAAAGGCGGTTCATTTGAAGTAGACGACCCGCTCATTTTACTGTGATTTTTCGTAGACTTCAAATCGATCTGTATCTTAACCGTCCGTGTTAGATTAGTGACGTATCAAAGTAACAAGCGTCTCTCGTGTGAAGGTTTGGGTATTTATGTCAGTTCCTTGCTAAGCTCTGAGCGCTTTTCTGGGGTTCCTGACGAGACTCTCTAGCTGCCCCCGCGCTGTGGGCGTCTGCCCAGGGACTGGCCTCCGCACGGGCGGTGCCGGACGGCCACACCGGGTCACCCCAGAACCGCGTGCGGGCTGGGAGGGCTCTGCTGCGCCCAGCGATCCGCCCTGTTCGGTGTCACGCCCCGCGCTTGCTCTCTGTAGACGAGGGCTGTTTAAGAACGTAGCACGCGCGTGTGTGTGTGCTCTTAGGTAAAAGCGGTGGTTGGGGGCGCATTTTGTTAGATGCAGCTGGAAACCCTCTGCCCCATTTCCCAGCTCTGAGCCTAAACATCACTTGGCTCTCACGCGTTTGAGCTAAGCAAGTCGGCAGACTTCTGTATTGCGGTTAAATGTACGTGATGGAAAATCGATCCTCTGAACTGTCCTGTCCACAGCTCACCTTGCCGTCCCCGCCGCCATCTCCAGGACTCCGTCCCCATCAAACAAAGCTCCCAGCCCCCGGCACCTACCCGTCTACTTTCTGTCCCTAGGAACGTGACGACTCTAGGGACCTCCTCGGAGTGGACTCATACAGCATTCGCCCTTTTGCGACGGGCTTATTTCTCGGAGCGTGGTGTCCTCACTCTTCGTCCCCGTTGTATGTCGCGTGTGCCACATGTTGCTTGCCCATCCATCCGTCGCTGGACACTCGGTGCTTCCACGTTTTGGATCATGTGAACAGTGATGCTGTAAACACGGGCCTGTAGACATCTGTTCAAGGAGAGACGCTCTTAAGAGCTGAAAGTGTAATGGTGTTGAAGTTCACGCATTCACATTGTCCCCTAGATATGGATGCTGACGGGCGATAAACTCGAGACAGCGACCTGCATCGCCAAGAGTTCACACTTGGTGTCCAGAACGCAGGACACCCACATCTTCAGACCGGTACGTGCATGTCTCACGCACTTGAGATTCTAAATGTCCGATCTCACAATGAAATCTCTGGGTTTCGTGAGGATGTATATGCAGTTACTTAGTAATTACTGAATATCTGTTTTAAAAGAGGAATATTATAATTTCCTGACTCTTTATAACAACGTGTTAAAAATAAATTTCCATTAGTTACATGCATTAAATGTAATCAAAAAGCTGTTTTTTGATAGTGAAACAAGGTCTAAATTCAAAAGTATTTTTCTGTTATATTGTTAGAATGATTTATACAACTAAATGTCTTTTAAAATAGACATGCTGTCTGCAGCCATAGCACCCTGAACGCGCCCGATCTCATGTGATCTCATAAAATAGACACACTGCATTCATTTTCTATTCAATTTATGAAAGTGCATATTGAGAAAAATTACATTTCTCTATTAGTTATACACATCATGTGTGGTCCAGAAGCTGCTTTTGTGAAACAAACTCTAAATACAAAGTAAGAATATGTTTTTAACCTACCACCTTTTCGCATCAAATGCTCTTCCTTAGTTCAAAGAAAATTAATAGAAATGATCAAAATTTATGTGTTTACTGTACACATTAGTTATGACTGAATGTAGTTCAAACAAAAAATAAAAGTTTCTTGGGTCCTGATTGATGGTGGATGAGCAGACATTGCATGTCTGTGTCTGTTCTAAATGAAGCACTTGCACCTACAGAAATAGTTATTTGAATATAATTTACATGTAAATGTAGTTTATTTCAAAGCATCAGAATCGCAAATTAGGCCCTGCAGACTACTATTTGCAATTAAATTATTAATGATTCTGATAAAACTTCAGATCAATTTTTGTTGACTTTTCAGTGTTACAGCACCACAAATTAAAATTTCCATAATAAAACCTACCTATTTAAAGATGAGTCAGATTAATTTGGACCGCATGAGACTTTTAATTTATTTCAGTCCTGTAATACATCATTTCTTTTATGCTCCATAAAACCTCCACAGAAAGAATGTATAAAACTAGTGGGTTGGTTTCTGAAATGTTTTCACTCCAAAATTAATGATATTTCAAGATCAAGATTTGATTTTATTCTTTTAAATCATTTAATCCTTCACGTATTCTGGTCACTCACACTAACAAAATAAGTTGAAACCTGTGGCAGAGGCAACAGAAGCCATTTTATAAAAGCACACATTATGGAAAGAGGCATCTTTCCGTAAAGCTCTGATTGAGATGGCCTGCGCCTCTGCGGTGTGGCCTGCGGAACCCTCTCCTGGGCGCTGGCGCTGGCTGCAGGGAAACGAAACTGTGACCTGGTGTCCCCACCACGCTGTCACTGTGGAAACAGCGGGACTGTCAGTGAATGGTTGTCGTTGGTCTCACAGGAGGTGGGGAGGTGGGGAGGGAGGGCACGGGAGGTGTGAGCGCAGGGCCAGTCTGCTGCCTCTGACAGGCCGCGTCCTCCGCTGGCCGCACAGGGTTGCGCTGGCACGCTGTCCCCGCCCTTCGCCGGGAGCGTCGT